CTTAACAGACTGGCTTTGTGAGCAGACATCGTGCTCAGCCTTACCAATATGTAGTATGTAATGTCAGTCCCTCTTTGTCCCCTAAAATAACTCCCCTAATTACCTGGTTCTTTACATTCCATTACAACAGAATTGAGAACTAAAAGGACTTTGGAGACCTTGTAGCCCAACCCACTCAATTTTAAAGACAAGGCAAATGGCTCAGAGGAGGAAGGCAACTTCACTAAGGTCACACAACTACTTAATGGCAGTTGGGGCTTAATCCAGGTTTTCTGTCTTCACTCCTTGTTTAGTGCCAACATCATACACTGCATCCCAGGCCATCTCCAGTCATCCTACTTTTGTCTTCCTGCTGGACTTCCATGACTCTAGAGGAAAGAGAGAGGATGACAATTTGCACAACTCTGCCTCACAAATCCAATCTGTGCACAAGCCCAACCATTACTCATTTGTGACATCATTGGTCTTTTTTGGAAATGAAGGATGAACAACAAGTGTTTTTGAATGTCTTGACCAAGGTCATACAGGGAATAAATGATTAAATGTAGTTCTTCTAACTCCAGTTCTGGGGCTCTATCTCCAGCATCCCACTAAAGTCTTTTGAGTTCAATCTGGCACTTTCCCGGTGGACCTCTTTCAAATTGCAAGTATCCCTAGGAGTGCTAACACAACCAACACTTTAGTATGACTGAGCTTATCCAACAGTTTCCCTCAGGAGAATGGAGACTGGACATCAGAGGAACAACACGTGGCCTCCTAGAAGTAAAAGTGATTCTGGAAAGGAAAGGAGAGGAGCCCAACACACATCACAATGTGACTAAGCGCCAATCTTAGTGGACATGACTTCTGTAGAAACTCCATTTGCCCCTCAGAGGGACACCTGCCCCTGATCTAAACCACAGATTCCCGAGAGCCGCATAAACAGTGGACCCAAGTTGAAAAAAGCAGAGTAACTAACAGAGGAAGTCCAGGTTTCTTACCCCTCCCTGATGGCATAACTAAGTCCTCTTTCACATTCCATATCAACATCCAAAATCCGGCCAGGGAGTAGCTTCTAGATCTGTCCCACCCCATTTCCTAGAGGTGTTTGGATGTCTGACTCCTTCTAGGTTCCCAGAACACTGAGGGCAATGACGGCAAGTCCACTGGGCCTGAACCTGATCTTTGCAACAATTTAACTAAATTCATAGAGTTGAGAGGTGGGATTGCCCTACATCTCTCCTTCCTCTATCCTGTCCATGCCTCAACTTAGCTGCTGTTGCTTTAGCAAAATGACACATTCTTCATCATCCTTAGAACTCAAGCCTCAGTTCTATGCCCTCCACACAGGTCCAATGAGTGCAAATTGTAATGTAAGAACAGACATAATACCTGAGAGTCTGGAAGGAAACTTAGAGGTGATTTGGTCCAACATTCTCATTTTACAGATGAGGAAACTGAGGTCCAAGGAAGTGACACGACTTGCCAAGATCATCCAGTTGGTGTGAGAGCATGGCATGGGAGAGAAGACTTTGAACTTAGAATGAGGAGGAACCAGGTTCGCCACACCACCACAATCCCAGCTTTGGTCTGGTATGCTAGGGCCTTTCTTTGCTGATTATCTGAAATTTGTCCTTCCTCTATCTTGTTGTACAAGAAACCCTAACCCTAACCCTGTACATGTATTTTTGCATGTTGTCTTCTCCATGAATCAGTCAGTCAATATCTCACCACTTTGAAACTTGCTAATTGTGTGATCTTGGGCAAGAAGCACTAAGCCAGAGTTTCAGTTTCCTCCTCTATAAATTGGGTGTAGTAATGTATGTGCAACATGCACGACAGGTTTGTACTAAGGAAAGTGCTTGGTAAATCTTAAAACCCTAAGAAAATAGAGTTATAATCATTTCCCTTCATATATTTGTAGAATACTTCCATATGCATTATTCCAATCGATCTTCACCATAATACTAAGAAATAACTTGTTGTTTAGTCATTTCAGTTGTGTCTGACTCTTCATGATCCCATTTGGCTTTTTCTTTTTTTGACAAAGATATTAGAGTGGTTTGTCATTTCTTTCTCCAGCTCATTTTACAGATGAGAAAACTGAGGTTAACAGGGTTAAGTGACTTGGCCAGGATGACACAGCTAGTAAGTGTCTGAGGCTGGATTCAAACTCAGGTCTTCCTGACTCCATGCCATGCACTCTATCCACTGCACCACCTAGATGCCTAATAAAATAGAGCAGGTATTATCATTCCAATTTGGCAGCTGGGGAATTTGAAGCATATGGGCAAAATGACTTCCCAGGAGTACATAGCTATTTGTCACAGACCCAGGAACTGAAACCAATTCATAATTTCTCCCAGGACATCGTACTTCTTTCCAGAAGAGACCTTTGGCTGAGAGGCAGAGAAGGATCATTGGAATAGAGAGAAGATTCTGGGGCAGCTAGGTGGCGAAGTGGATAGAGCACCGGACCTGGATTCAGGAGGACCTGAATTCAAATCCAGCCTCAGACACATAACACTTACTAGCTGTGTGACCCTGGACAAGTCACTTAACCCCATTGCCTAGCCAAAAGAGAGAGAGAGAGAGAGAGAGAGAGAGAGAGAGAGAGAGAGAGAGAAAGATTCCCCTCCAGGAAAGAAGAGGGAAGGGAAAAATATTGAGATCCAATATTCCCATCGATTTCAAATCCTGACAATTCTAGGAAGCTCTAGGACATTCTTCTGCCCTCCTGGCCTTGAAATATCCATTTTTCCTGTCTCTAATTCTATACCAACAAGCCAAAACAAGCACTTATCAAGCATTTACTGTGTGCCTGACTCTGTGTTCAATGCTGGGGACACAAAGGCAAAAAACAAAATAAATAGTCCCTATTCTCAAGGCTCTCCTAGTCTCCTGGCATTTTCTCTTGCTATCACCCATGCCTGGAATGCTCTCCCTTCCCTTTCAGTCCCAACTAAAATCCCATCTTCTACAGGAAGCTTTTCCCAACCCCTCTTAATTCTAAAGCTGTCTCTCTCTTATTTCTTTTTTAACCTGCACATGGCCTTGTTGGTAAATACTTATTTGCCTATTGTCTTCCCCCATTAGATTATGAGCTCCCCAAAGGCAGAGACAGTCTTTTGCCTCTTTTTGTATCCTGAGTGCTTAGCACAGTGCCTGGCACATAGTACTCATAGAAAAGACAACATGCAAACAGCTATGTACAAACAAGCTATAGGCAGGATAAACTGCTGATAATCAAAGAAGAAAGGCATTAACCCACCAGACTAAGCCTATGACTGGAGTGGGGTGACAAGCAGAGGGGTAAGGATGCCACATGACCATGAGCCATAGACTTCTCCATTTGCATCATCCATGTCACTATTCTCCTCTCCCTTTTCTCTCCCCAAATATTCCTGTTACAACTCTGCTTCTTCGTCCTGAAATAGTTCTCCTGTGTAACTCCTATTCAGTGTGGAATTCCCTCTGAAGTCGAGGGAAATTTAGTTGCCAAGGTGAAGGTTGAGTCAGGGAGAGAAAACTCCCCAGAACAGATGGGAGAGATCATTTCTGTTCCTAGAACCAGAGGGGCGATTCTATGTAAGTAACTCCCATTCAGCTCCTTTCTATAATCATCTCTAGTAAGTACTTATTCTTATAATAATAATAATAACAATAGCTAGCAATTGTATAGTGCTTTAAGATGTGCAAAACAATTTGTTTCTGTCATCTCATTTGCTGATCACAACCTTATAAGGTAGGTGATATTATTCTTCTCTTTTTCATTATCCTAGATGAGAAAACTGAGGCACAGGGAAATTAAGTGACTTGCCTGGGGTCATATAGCTAGTGTCTGAGACAAGATTTGAACTCAGGTCTAGTCCTTTACCTGATGGGCCAAACTCCCTAATTTCTATAGTCATATAACCCTTTTTATGTTTAACCTTTAGAAGGTGAAGCCAAGTTTAATGTCCCATGTCCCAGAAAATCTTAGTAGATGTGAATCTCTCAACTAAATATCCAGTTGGGTCTTTCTTTTTAGTGCTTAATTAGTGTGGTGCCTCACACATATCAGATGTTCAATAAATGTTTTGTTGATTGCTGGCCTGATTTCACTGAGGCTGAAGAAGAGAAGAGGAGCCCATCTCACTCAAGCTAAGTTAAGTGTGGTCTTGCAGAAGGTGGAAGGATACCCAGCCTAGGTCTGTACAATTCTATAAGTGACGTACTACTCAAAACTCCTCCAAGCTGGAGATACTCAATGAATCACAGGCACAGAATGTGCAGAGAATGCACTGGGATTCCAGTCTTGTGGCAGAGCAACTCTTAGCACAGGATTCATGGACCCTGAAGGAGTCTCTAGATAGATTTCAGAGGGTTCAAAAATTTGGATGGGAAAAAAAATTACTTCTTTACTTTACATATGGAAAAGTATTCTTCTGAAAAGAGGTCCATAGGCTTCAAAAGATAAAGAATCTTTTGTTTGAGACATGACTAATATACAAATTTGGATGCCTATACTTGCCCTTTTAGGAAACTGGCCTTCTCTTGATAGAGGCAAGTAGTGGAGCTGGTTACTCTCTAAACTAAGCAGGTTCAAAGCCTTGACTGTTTAAACGGTATGTAACAAAGAATTTCTCAACAAACAGCATCCTGAAAAGGGCTCACATCCACGTCACCATAGGCAAGGAACATTCTCTCTATGACAGTCTCAGGCCTGCAATGTTTGAGGTAAAAGCTGCATATTATGTAAGCAGTACAGTACAGAAGTGTCAAAAAAAAAAAAAAGAGAGCTTATCTCCCCCCTCCCCAACCCAAACCCTAAAAATAGCCCTAATGGAGAAGTGTACAGATCGACCACATGCTTGCGATGCAGAAATTTAAAAAAAAAAATACATACTCACATAAACTCAAAGCATCAGAGCTTCTACTCCAATTCAGTGGAGGCGGTGGGGGATGGTTGGGGGTGGGGCAGGGAAAGGGAGGGGCTGTACTTAGAAAATCTCTTGCCCGGAAATGAGTTTTGTGGCTTTTATGAATGAGGGATAGTCCCCATTGAGTATAAATGAAGACCAGCAAAGTGAAGGACAGTACCAGTAGGGCTTGCTCTTGCAAAACAGAGCTACCAGCCAGCCCCCAGGAGACAAACCAAAGCCCTACCATGTCTACCTTGATGCTGCTGTTCAGCTTGCTTTGCCTGACTGGCTCCAGCCTCAGTTCTGCCTCAGAGGACAACTGCAGCAATTTCTCCATCACATTGCCCAACATGCTCCGAGACCTTCGAGCAGCCTTCAGAAATGTGAAGATATACTTTGTAAGTACACCCACCTGCCTGTTCTTTCCCTTTTTTGAGTCCTTGCCCTGAACAAGATCCCTACTGAGGCTAACCCTTCTGCCCATGCTTCACCATCAGTTCAATAAGTTGGGCAAAGCCCTGCCACTAGATAGATCGATAGATAGATAGATAGATAGATAGATAGATAGATAGATAGATAGATAGATAGATAGTTACATACATACACACATATACACATACATACATACATAGATGAATGGATAATCAATACATAATTTCTGACATTTCCAAGCTTTGCAACACACCCACTAATTTATCTATTGAGGTCCACCAAAAATGCAATCTTACAAATTTAGAGAATCATGCACTATTAGACCTGGGAAGGGGTGTTATGGCTCATTAGCACAACCCTTGTATTTTTACAGAGGAGAAAACTGAGGTCTGGAAAGGTCAAGGACACGGCTGTACTGATGGCTAAACTGGGATTTCAACCCAGTTCTTGATTCCTAGTACAGTGGCTTTTGTAGTTGTTGTTAGTTTTGGTGGGTTTTCCTCCTGGTTTCCCCCTCTCTCTTCTGAAGTACCTGGGTTTCTCACAACACAACCTGCTGCAAAGTTCTCCTTTAAGAGCTCCCCTTGTCCTAAAGATTGATTGGTAGGCTCTGAGGGCTATCTATCAATAGATATTTTTAAGCACAGGTTGGATTAGGTGACCTCCAGGGTGTCTTCCGGCTCTCATAGAATCCAGTGATTCTATGGCACTTGCTCAGAAAACCTATGCCAACTGATATCATCCCTTCCCTGGGATCCTTAAGCACTTGGGGCTGGGTGTCTCTAGTAGAAGAGGAAAGAAAGCACTGGATATTGAAGGCAAAAGAACAGAACCATTGGGGACCAGCTTGGGTGATGTGAGTGGCCTTTTTAACCAGAGCAGCTTGCAGCTTTGCTGAAGTCAGCAGAGAATTATTGGACAGAGTCAAGCCTGGGAAACCCTCCTCTAGTGCTGAGTCAGGACTTCATCTTAACTTGGAAATCTATAGGATATGGTGTGGAGAGAGGGCCAGCACGAGGATGGGGCTTAGCTTAATTTGTGGATCCAGCCATGCTGGATCGATCAATCAATTTATTAAGTGCTTACTACGTGTGTGCCAGGCTCTGGGAATAAACACACAAAGAATGAACCAATTCTTACTCACAAGTAGCTAACACTCCAAGGGGATCTTCTACTAAACCTAATTGTTTGGAGTTCCTATTTGGTTAAGCCAGGGCCCTCCAAGGCAGCAACCCTTGAAATACATCTTCAACCTCTAGACATAAAAATGGGAACCCAAGAGACAGCAACATCAAGGGTGTATGGTTACTTCAGGTACATTCTAACTCTTTGCTTCTTGCAGCAAACGAGAGACAAGCTAGAAACCAAATTGATAGACAAATCTTTGCTGGAAGAATTAAAGGTGAGGACTTTTCCATGTTTGGGGTAATACACCTTGGGGCTCAAAAAGCAGATTTGAATTTACTTATTGGCTGTAGGGAGGTCTGTCTGCTTCCTTGGTACCAAAAAAAAGGGAAGCTGCAAAGGACACCTTCACCCACAGCCTAGCCACCAAGGGAGGCCACAGTCCCTGCTAAAGACTGGAATAGTGGCTGGGAATGGGGCTTTCAGCATCTCCACAGGACACCTTAGGGGGAGAGATTTCAAATTAGAGTTCATCTAGCATCCCTTTCCCTTTATCTTTCCCTCACAACCGCTCCGACTTTGCATCCTTACAGAGTTACCTGGGCTGCCAGGCCTTGTCAGAGATGATTCAGTTTTACCTGGAGGAAGTGATGCCTCAGGCAGAGAAGAATGAGCTGGACGTCAAAGAGAACGTGGGCTCCTTAGGAGAGAAACTGAAGGCACTGAGACTGAGACTCAAACGCTGTGTGAGTAAGAGAGGATATATGGTAGAAATACATACAACCACATACATATACACACATGCAAAAATACACAACCACATACATGCAGAAAGACACACCAACACATCACCACACAAAAAGACATATACAGAGACACACTAAGAAACTCACAAGTACATACACACAGAAACCTACACATGGAGCTGCATATTCAACCAATATACAGATATACAACCATATAACCACATCCACCCACATAGAGACATACACAAACACACAAATGAACACAGAGACACAATAACACCGAGAGACATACAATCACACACACAAAGGCATACACAGTGAGACTTACAACCATATATGCACCAATAGACACAGAAAGACATTCAATCACACAGACTTACCTGCACAACTACACACAGAGATACATATACAACCATGTACACATGTAGACATCCATACACAAACACAGCAATACAGAGAGACTGATCAGCTATTTGTTTCTCACTGGGGGTGGTGGAAGGGAAGGGAGACAGTTGAGCATTTACATAGCATTGGCAATTTGCAAAAAGCTTTCCTGTCATTTCTGAGTCATTAGTGAGTTTATTAACAGCTCCCCCTTGCCCTTCTCCTTCCACCTCCCCTAGGCCCTTCCCCTGGGACTCCCCCACCACCACACACAATTAGGAATCACTGAACTTCACTGGCAGACTGACTTCTTAACATTCTGGATGAGGCCCTGGGCAAGAAGGATCTTGGGGAGACTGAGCCCCTCAAGCTCCTAGGAAAATAACCCAGACAAGGAACAATAGTACCCTAATTGTTCCTTTTTTTACTGTGGGGATACTAGTGACTTATCATTTCTAAGTTATTCTGGAACAGAACTCAAAGTGGAAATGTATGGGGTGAGAAACCAACCCACTTCACTTCAGAAAAGCCCAAAACTGGGCCTTTCAATGAGTTTCTGTGCCCATAGATAAATATTGAACTTCTTTATTTTTCTGACTGAAATTATAAAGGCATCCCCTCCCCCCTGCAAACCACATACACACTTCCTTTGCTTGTTCATTTCCACACACTCATCCAGAGAAATCAGAACATGGAGCTATGCAGATTGTGTCCAGTATGGCCACTGGCTAAATTTTAAGGCTGGTTCTACTGTCTTACAAGATGTTTAGAGGGTTTAGAGGTAACCATCTTACAAGATGGTTAGAGGGTCCCACCCTCATCTCTGTTGTGAGGGTAAAACCCAGAGTAGAGAGAGAATAGATCTGAGTTGTAATCCCAGTTTTGCCAAGGATTCCCTACATGTGACTTGAGAATCCCCATGTGACCACTTCATCCTTTCTGGGCCTAAGTTATCTCCCTCTATTAAAAAAAAAGTGAATATCCCTCACCCCCTTCTAAGCAAGGATGAGGTGATGGGTGTGCAGGGCTCAGATGTCCACAGGACATGAAGAAATCAGACTGATGCTGCCTGAGTGCCCCACTCTGAAGCAGGAAGAGAGGGGCCCCCTTCCTTTATCTAGCTGGCCTGACCCCCAGCCTTTGAGATTACAAAGCACCCTGGAAGGCCTCGCTCACCCGACCTTGCTTCTCTCTTTACAGCACCGATTCCTGCCTTGTGAAGACAGGAGCAAAGTTGTCAAGCAAGTCAAAAGCACCTATCAGAAGGTGAGTCCTGCTGAGTAGGAGGTGATGGAGGTGAACGGGACATTGCACAGGGAATTTGTTTCCGCCATTCCCAAGCTGTCCCAATTTTCCCACTTGGCCTAACAGTCCCCCCTGTCCCTTTGCCTCCCTAGGCAAGTGTGGGAACTCAGCAAATGGTGTCAGATAGAAGTTGCTGTCTTGGTCACATTTTGTTTTCTGTGAAGTGTCTTTGAGGGTTTCTAAATGACTCCGCAAGGCACTCACAAGTCTGTAAGGTCGGTTGATGCACCAGCTGGTGAACACCTCATAACTGAGCAGTGGGGGCAGTGCAAGATAGCTCCTCTCTTCCAGAAGCATTCACAGTCTAGCTGTGAGCAGAGAATCGTCACGTGTTCAGGGAACAGACGTGAAAAGTGGCACAGGCTCCCTGGGCTTACTCAGGCACACAGCAGGCATTGTCTCAGCCCTGAGTTCATTCTGCCTGCCACCTACACTTACCTTAGCCATTGCAGTCATAGTTTGAGAGGTGAGGGGAGGCTGATACCTCCTTCTCTCTGACAAAGAAAGAACCAGCTCATAATTAATTCATCCGGCCACCAGAAATCCTATGATTTAAAGTTTTTGAAAGGAGATACAGCCTACTGCATGGGAAAGAAAGACAGATATAGATTCAGAAGGCTCAGATGCCCTCTCTAATACACTGCTTTGTGACCCTGGAAATCTGTGGTCCTCAGATTTCTTCTCTGTAAAATAAAGGCTTTGGATTGGATGAACTATGATGTGCCTTTCAGCTCTGTATCTACAAACTAAAATGGTTCTTTCATTTTACAGAGGAAACTGAGTCCCAGAAACGAATCTTTTCCTCACAAACTAGTTTCATGAGGGATGAGATGAAGGGGGCACAAAAACTTCCCTCAGAGAAAATCAGACAAGTGCATATGATTTGCAAGGACAAGGGCTGCAGCTATTCCCTCCCCTCCTAGGGAAGTTATAAAAGGATGAGTGGTTCCACAGGTCACCCAATAGCCATGCCACTATGCTTTGAGAAGCCCTCTTACTGTGCTCAATGAGGTTTGGGTTGTGCTTTTGGGAGATAATAATAATAATAGTATTTATATGCTGCTTTGAGGTTTACAAAGTGCTCATTTTGCATCCATTTGATCCTGACCACAACCCTGGGAAGTAGGTGTTATTATAATCCCCACTTTACAAATGAGAAAACTGAGGCAGACAGCAGTTAAGTGACTTGCCCAGGGAAGTGTCTGAGTTCCAGATCTGAATTCAGGTCTTGCTGACTGTAGGTCCAGTGCTTAAACCACTGCATGACTTCGCTAGCCCAGCTAGAATATGAGAGGTCTAGATTCTGACCAAATGTTTCTTTCCTCCTTGTACAGCTCCAGGAACGAGGAGTCTATAAAGCAATGGGGGATTTTGACATATTCATCAACTACATGGAGGAATACTTGACGACGCATATCAGAAACTGAGAGATCCCTCAAACCAGGAAAACCAAGATGGTGCCTCTGTTAGAAACTAGAAGAGAATGAGGCACCTCCACATCTAGATGCCAGGGTTCCACGTGAAATGAGCCTGGTTTTGGAAACCCCAGTGATGTCTCTTCCCCTCACCCGCTGGGCTATTTATTACCTTCACTCAATACCTCATCTAGCATCTCTATTTATTTATCAAACTTGTCTTTGAACTATTTAGAAAGAAGATATCTTTTATTTTTTAAACTATTTATTGTTTATATCTGTTACATTGTATCCATAGGATGACATCCTGTGTATTTTAAAAAACAGATTATAGGCTGTATGTATATATATGTATATGTATTTATATGCATATGTGTGTGTATATACATATTATATATATGTACATGTATTTAGATTCTTTTTTGAGGACTAATGGATTCCACTTTCTCACCAGTCAAATTTTGTCCTTTTTCTGGGTCCCTTTGCCTAGGATTATAGGATTCTAGAAGCAGAGCTAGAACAGAGTTTAGGAGTTATCTAATCCAACCCCTTCATTTTATGGAGGAGGAAACCACGATCCAAGAGGCTCAAGTAATTTACCCACGGTCACAGAGTTAGTAAATGGCAGAATAAGAATTTCAACCCAGAGCCTCTGACACCAAGTCCAGCATGAGTTCCATAGCACCATGCATCAGCCTCGTGGACCTGCTGTCATCATGACTTCTTTTTCCTCCTTCAGAAAGGGGAACTGACAAATGCCTTGGGCAACTCTACCAATAATCTGATTCATGCTCAAGAGGGACTTTAGGGTTTTTTTTCCCTAATTATCTTGAAATCCCATCACACCACAGCTCCCTCTTATCATACCCCATTCACGTCTGCTACATGCTTCATTCTTGGAGGACACAGACTGTTTTTTATTTTGAATGACCTGATTTTGGTTCTAATAGAACTCAGTTTTAATTCTAAGAGCTATAAAATTCCTCTGGGAATTGCAGGGTATAATTTTGTATCAGAATTTTATTTTGTAATAAAAAAGAAAGAACACTTGTGAAATGCATGTTCTTGATGCAAACTGAGGGAAACATGGAAAAATATCAGTTGGTCTGAAAAAGATCTGGGGGATTTTCGTGGACTTCAACTCAACATAGAACAATTAAAAAGCCTAATATGATCTTGGGCTATTTGAATAAAGAGGAAACAGTACAGCCACACTCTTTCCTAGTCAAACCACATCTAGAGTATTATGTTCAGTTCTGAATGTTACAGTTCAAGTAAAACAATAAACTGGCTATAGGAAAACAACCAGATCAGTGAAGGACCTTGAGAGTTCGTGCTATGTAAGAAGTATTTGAGAGATCTGGGAATGTGAAGCCTAGAGAAGCAAAAACACAAGACAAGCTTGATGGTTATATTCAAGTATTTGAAGGTCCGTTGCATAGAAGAGGGATTGGACTTGTCTTGTTTGGCCACGTAGGACTGAGACAGCAACTATGTATGGGAATTTTAAAGCGATCAATGTGCACTTGATGCCAGGAAAAACTTACTCATAATTAGAATTCTCCAAAAGTAGAAAGGGGGGTACTAAGTTGCCTGTCATTGGAGGTCTTCAAGAAGAGGTTAAATGAGCACTTTTTGGATAAGCTGGAATGGATTGGATGGATGTTGACAGCCCTTCCTATTCCAAAATTATGATTCTGTGACTTTTGCCTAATTGAGATTGCCATAGTAGCAGTCCCCATTATAAAAGAGATGCATTTGCCCTGCTCTGGTCTGTTACCTCTCTCCATTATGGGTTTCCTACTACACTTCCATTTTCTGGAAGGAGTTCTGGACCAGGAGATCATGTGGGCAGTTTCAGCACTTGAATTTCAATCTTTATTGAAATTTCTTTACTAAGTCTCTTATGATATATTTGTTGGCCGGATGGAGAGATACAGGCTAGATCACAAAACATTATAGGGATTCATAGCTGGTTAAATGATTGTTGTTCAATTGTGTCTGACTCTCTGTGACCCCAAATATATTGAAGTGATTTGCCATTTCCTTCTCCAGCTCATTTTACAGATGAGGGAACTAAGGCAAACAGGGTTAGGTGACTTGCCCGGAGTCATACAGCTAGTAAGTGTCTGAGGTTAGATTTGAACTCAGGAAGATGAGCCTTCCTGACTCCAGGCCTAGCACTCTATCCACTGAGCCACTTAGGTGCCCACTTGATTGATTAGACCGGAAGTATTCATTGATGGATAAATGTCAACTAGGAGGAAGATCTCTGCTGGAGTGACCCAAGGTTGTTCTTGGCTCTAATCTGTTTAACATTTTTATCAGTGACCTTGATGACGACATGGATGGCATATATATTTATCAAGTTTTTAGATGACATACGGGCCATCACTTAGAGGGAATCAAGATTCAAAATGAACTCAACTGGCTGGAAGCATGGGCTAAAGCTAATAAGATTAAATTCAATATGTTTACATGTTTATATGTTATATGTTAATATGTTTACATATAAAATAATTAGTTTAAAAAAGAAAATAACTGCACAAATATAGAATAGCAGAGACATAGCTAGGGAGCAGCTTGCTTTAAAAAATAAAAAAAAAGCATTCTAGTTTGTTGCTAATTCAACCTGAGATGGATCTGGTTGACCAAAATGCTAATTATAGATTTTGAAGTTAGAAGAAACTTCAGAAGCTTCTACTCCATCCCCTACCCAAGCTTTCATTCCCACGGCAGATTTATCCCATTTCAAGATGGTGCTAATTGTTGGAGATTTTTTTCTTATCAAGTCTAAATATAGAGGTTTAATTCACACCCATTATTCCTAATTCTACCCTCTGGGGCCAAGAAAAAGAAATCTAGTCTCTGTCTTATGCAACTCTTAAAATAATTGAAGATAGCTGTCATATCCCATTCCTCTTTTCCAAGCTAGACATTCTCAGTTCCTCATATGTCATAGTTTATAGTCTTCTCATCATCCTGGTCACCATCTTCAGGATGTGTTCTCTCATTAATGTCTCTTCTTAAAGGTGACACCCAGAGCTAAACATGAATTTCCAGATGTTGTCAGAACAGAATAGAAATCAGTGGAATGGCCACCTCCCTCATTGTGTATCATCCCCTCCTATGAATGTGATCTAAGCTCAACTCAGGAGGCTCTCCGAAGTTCCAGGGCTTAATGAAATTGGCACAGTGCCATCTGCAAACAAGGACATCGTGAGGATCTCACCCTCTGAAGGGAATTCCTTTTTGATTTGAACCCTGCACAGGACTTCTTCCATTAAAGTAGTGAACACATTCTATGGGCATACATCTCCTGGTTTATTGCTCACTTGATACTAATAATCAGAAGGTAGATGAACAAAGTAAACAATGTTGTTAAATCTTTCAATGAATCTTTCAACGCTCACTCCCCCCGTCCATCATAGGTTCACATATGGTAGAATGTGGACAAAATTCACACAGCATAGGCAGGTATGAGAAGATAGTGACCTGTATCATTGAAATTAATAACTAAAGCAATGATATCATAGGGACAGTAGAGTAAGGGAGAAATAGAAATTAATTTTTAAACTGTTGCATCACATTAGCTTATAGCTTTCAGCCCAAAAGAACTCACCATAGTTTGTTTTTTTTTTTTTTTTGCTTTGCTTTTTTGGTGAGGCAATCAAGGTTAAGTTACTCGCCCAGGGTCACACAGCTAGTAAGTGTCAAGTGTCAGAGGCCGAATTTGAACTCAGGTCGTCCTGACTGCAGGGCTTGAGCTCTATCCATTGCGCCACCTAGCTGCCCCCCACCATAGTATTTTTTAAGTAAACTATTTTCTAACTACCCCTCTCCCCACTCCTGTACTCATGTAGCTGGGGGTGTTGTTGTTGGAGTTTTTTGTTAATTTTTAAAAGTTGTTTGTTGTTCATTTTGCCTCTGTTACTCACTATTTGTGTGACCTTGGGCAAATTATCCTTAACCTCTCTAGACTTCATTTTCCTCTGTGAAATTAAGAGGTTGGAATAGATGACCTCAAAGGTGGCTTCCATTCTCAAATCTATGATCTTATGAATCTAAGTGAATTAATTTTTTTATTCCTATTCAATTTTGCCTTATTTAGTTTAGCCCACCACTAGAATGGGGATCTATGCAGTAAGTAAGGGGTCAGATTACAGGTCTTTGAGCTTTCAGGTTCTAAGATCGACAGAGGAAAATTTCAAGTGAATATCCAATAACTTCCAATCTCTCTTTTAAGGACCAGCAACAAGTGTGTGGGCAGAGTGCCAAGCTTGGGGTCAAGAAGGTTCATCTCCCTAAGTTCACATCTGACCTCAGAGACTTACTAGCTGTGTGATCCTGGGCAAGTCACTTAACCCCATTTGCCTCGGTTTCCTCATCTATAAAATGAGCTGGAGAAGGAAATGGCAAAACCAGTCCAATACCTTTGCCAAGAAAACCCCAAATAGGGTCATGGAGAGTTAGACACAACTGAAATGATTGAACAACAACAAAAACAACAAAATAAGTATGTAGTAAGGGATTCCCCTTGGGTGGTTTCATTAGAGATAGATTCTTAGACATACATTCCCTTGAAATGCAAAGACTCCTGTAATACACATATAGTCAACATAGATCTAAAGGAAAAAATTTAGTTTCTCAGAATGTTGCGGGCCCAGGAAAGGAATATGCTGGTAAATATTTAATAACTGGCTCTCTAAGGGACAAAATGTACTCACAACACACTTGTGAATTTAATCTTGCACTACCAGTATTTTTCCCATTACTTTCTTAGCAATCAACAAAAAAACAAATCAAGCCTTGCCATTTCCTAAGGTATGCTATAAATGCCTTGGAATGAGTAGTGTAAATGCTTTCACTGAAAATTTAACAATAGGTTCTCATGAACCTGACTCCCCAGTACACCCCTGGTCCAGGGTATATATGAAATGAGGAGGCAATAAGGGATGGTTGAGACGAAGAGACCAGCTATCCAGGCAGGTGGCAGGCAGTCAATAAACATTTATTAAGCATTTACATTGTACCAGGAACTGTGCTGACTTCTGGGGATACAAAGAAAAGCAAAAACAGAAGAAGCTCACATTCTAATGGAGAAGACAACATGCCTCCCAAAAACGGTATACTTAAGACATTGACAGGGTAAACGAAAAAGAGAAAAGCTAGTGACAGTGGGGAGAACCAGGAAATGCCTCCTGCAGGAAATGGGCTCTGAGCTGAGTCTAGAAGGAAGCCAGGGAAGCCAGTAGGCAGAAATGATTGTGGAGAACATTTCAGGCATGCTCGCAGAAAGGAACAGAGGTCAGAGATGGAGAAGAGTTTATGAGGAACAGGAAGTGTGGCTAGACCATTAAGTACATGGAGAGGAGGGAGTAGAAAGGAAGAAGACCAGAAAAGTAGGAAGGAGGCAGGTTGTGAAGAGTTTTAAATACTAGATGACAGTGTCCTCATGGTGCCAATTAGAAACACCTAACCCACAGGGCAGGACAAGCAGACTACTGACTGAGCAGCAATGGACACCCAAGCCTAGCAGAAGGTAGGAGATACAACAAACTGGTGGTGCCATGAACAGTGTTGTAGGACCTAGAGCATAAATCAGGCATCTGAATGCCTAAACTGGGGTGGGTGGCCCTCTAGGTCCTCAAGCGCCTCTGACCTCAAATGCCTCTGACAGGTCAAAGGGCCACACTTGGAGACCTAGAGGGCCACATGTGGCCTTGAAGCCACAGGTTCCCCACCCCTGGAAACCAAGACTCTAAGGGAAGCAGATGTCACCACAAGATAGCACGTGAACATTGCCATCAGCAGAGTTCCTAAATCCATGTGTGCGTGCTACTTCCTCCTTAGTGTGCTGAAACTTGTTTCTACAGGAATGGAGACTTGACCCTCTACAGAAGGAAAGAGAAGAGACCCATTGCATGGCTGCTTAATTCAAAAGCAAGTCCTACGTCTGCTGGAAATAAATATGCTGTTGGTCAAGGTTTTATTAACCAAGTGATCAATCAACAAACATTTATTAAGCATCTATGATATACCAGGCA